ATGGGCACTTGGGCTGTTTCCAAGCTTTAGCTATTACAAACTGTGCCGCTATAAACATAGGTGCACATATATCACTGTGGTATGATTCTTTTAATTCTTTGGGGAAGATTCCCAGTAGGGAATAGCTGGGTCAAATGGGACCTATAGTCCTAGTTCTTTGAGGTATCTCCATACTGATTTCCACAGTGATTGCACCAGTCTACATTCCCACCAACAAAATGAATCCGTGAAAGCATTACTTGCATGGTGTATATTTATTAGTTCCTGATGGTCATTTTAAAGTTTATTCTAATAAATTACTGAAAAGCTTACTCTTTTGTAGCTTATTGCATTGATTAAATACTATTATGTTTAGGAATTTTCTTCTGAAATCTGGACATTATAAAGAAAATGGTAATTTTTGTCCTTGTTCACAAAATGAAAGAAAATATTTTCCTGGGCATATCTGCATATATTGGAACAGTGGTGGCAAACCTGTGGCATCCGAGTTAAATTTTATTTTTAAGACAAAAGTTGTTAACGTATGGGTTGTTGTTTTCTAAACTAAAACCTCAATATTCAGATTTAATTATAGTGTTGGCACAGTGGATTTGGGGCTGCAGTTTGGCACTGGGTCCCTAAAAGGTTCATAATCACTATACTAGAATAAAAACAATGTTTAATGATGATCAAGACTTTAATTCTATGGTTTTTTAGTGATTCTGTCTTTAGGCCCAGTCCCTCTATGATCAGTAGTAGTTTATTTGCCATTGTATAGTTAAGTCTGAATTTTATGTTTTATAGTAAACAATATGTTTGCTTATTTTGTTATTAGAGAAAGCCTGTTTTCTTGTTGATAATAGGAACTGGTGATGAAAATATTTCTGTACTTCAAAAATTTTCTACTAATTTAAATTCTTTTCTGCCTGCTTTCATTTACTGTTTTATTCTGTCTCCAAATTAAAACTTGTTGTCTTATCTGCATAAGAACAAATTGATAACTAGCTTAGGAATACCATGTCTCTAGCACTGTTATGATCAGAGCATATAGTTGCATTTTGGGTGGGGTGTGGTGCTGGGGATTGAACCGAGGGCTTCATGCATACCGGACAAGTGCTCTAACCACACTCCTAGTCCACAAACAGTTGTTTGGAAGTGCACTTGTATCTTACTGTTTCCTGCAGGAGAGTTTTAATTCTAAAAACTTATTTAATTCTGTTGTAGATCTGTCATTTTCACTGTACCATTTATTAACTGCCTCATATATTCTGTTTGTGCCTCATTATGTAAGTTTCAAGACATCCAGAGTATACACTGTTTACAAATATGATTCATACATCTTTGTATATTTTAACAGATATTTGACTCACAGTAGTGCTTAGTAAATACATGTCCAATATGGACTAAGAATTTAGTTAATTGTGATTGATTACCATTACAGTATATTATATGAAGGTAGTTCATGTATTTTTCTCTCCTTAACTGGATTTAAAATTTTTAAATTACAAGTGGAATATTCTTTTTAAAAGAAAAAATTTCAAACATAGAAAATGGCTGTGTATGTTTAGCTCAGTGATAAAGCACTTACCTAAAGTGTGGGAGGTCCTGGTTTCAGTCTCCAGCACTGCAAAAATCTATAAGGAGGGGAGAAGGGAGGAAACTGGATGCATAATTTCCCACTCTTCCCAGACTCACAGTTCAGAGATAAGCACAGATGAGTGTATGAATGTGCATTGTCTAGTTCTTTTCCTGTTGCTTCTTCTCACTGATTTTTTAGAGGTGTGGTGTGGTGTGATGGTGGTGATGGTGGTAATTCTTACTTGTTTCTTTCAGATTAATAATCTTATATTCTAGGAAGACATGGACTATACAGTGTTATATGGTATCACATTCTGTGCATATAACTTAATTATAGATACCTAGAAATAATCTTATTAATAATTTTTATTCATAAAGTGAGTTGTGAAGAAGAATTTTTTTGGAAAAAAATGCTATACATTGTTAATATACAATTAACACAGTATAACATTATGAAACTTATATTTGTAGCTGAACTTGGTGACTATGATCTTGCTGAACATAGTCCTGAACTTGTCTCTGAGTTCAGGTTTGTGCCCATTCAGACTGAGGAAATGGAACTGGCTATTTTTGAGAAATGGAAGGAATACAGGTATTCATTTGATCATATTTTCTTAACACAACAGTCATTTTTCATTCATTTTCTTTTGTTTCTACCTTTGATAGAAAATTAAATTTATATTTATTTTTTAAAATACTATCTTTTAATTTTTAGAGGTCAGACACCAGCACAAGCTGAAACCAATTATCTGAATAAAGCCAAATGGCTAGAAATGTATGGGGTTGATATGCATGTGGTTAAGGTAAGCACTGTGTTATTGTACCTTTTAAAGAATTCATTTCTTATGCCGGGATTTTAGCTCAGTGGTTCCGGCACCTGCTTCGCAAGCGCAAGTTTCCGAGTTCGATCCCCGGTACCAAAAAAAAAAAATTCATTTCAGGAACTTTGCATGACTGAATTTTACAGTGTGGTGGAGGCCATGGAGATTGCATAAGCCACCACTGGGTACTTTGTACAGTAGAAAGACCAAGATTAAATATTGAATTACTAGAATGGAAAATTTCATTATTAGAAGAGAAATTACCATAATTTGCAAAATATATCAATGTTTATAAGTTATTTTTTTAACTGTGAGAAGTTATTTTTTGTTTCTTTAGCTTTTAAACCAATGTGTACATATGGTGTTAGAAATCAAACCTAGGACCTTGTGTATGCCATGCAAGTGCTTTACCACTTAAAACCTCTAGCCCTTAAAACCACTTTTAACTTTTTTTGGTTCATATTATATCACTTAAGCTCAGTACTCACCAGGCTCTGTTAAAATAGTTCAGGAAGCAAAGTTGAAAATTTAAAGCTTGAGAGGACTTTGATAACTGTAAAACAGCTTGAGTAGTGATTTACTTCTAGCTTAACTAACAACATATTTCCAGGAAAGAACTTTTCCAGAGTTCTGATTTAAATGGTAAATTTAATATGAGAAGAATCTGAATAGAATTTTCTTTCTAGTGGGAGTTTACATACCCATTTTTATTGAAGGAATACCTTATAACCATAGTAGTCCTCCTTTACGTCCCCCCTTTATCTGTGGTTTAGCTCTCCATGATTTCAGTTACAGTCAGGCAAAGTCTAGAAAAATTAAATGTAAAATTCCAGAAATAAGGTATTTTGAGAGACTGCGTTCATATTACAGTATATTGTTCTAATTTTTCTATTTTATTACTAACTTCTTACTGTGTCTAAATTACAAATTAAACTGTATCATAGGTATATATGTATAGGAAAAAATATAGTATCTGTAGGCTTAGGTACTACCCATGGTTTTAGGCATCCCATGGTTTAGAATTTATTCCATCCTGGATAGGAGGAGACTACTGTATAGTGTATCAGTCACTTTAGGGGAAAATAAGGTATGAATGAATTTTCCCAAAGAATGTGAGTTTGGATACCTTAATTGTTGAAAATATCTTGTATATTAGCTTGTATATAGTAAGTCAGTGCAAACATAAAAATTAAACAGTTGTATGAAAATGTGAAAGCTTATTGATGCAAATTAAACTAACACATTTTTTTCTCTTCTTAAATTAGGCTAGAGATGGGAATGACTATAGTTTGGGACTAACCCCAACAGGAGTCCTTGTTTTTGAAGGCGAGACCAAAATTGGCTTATTTTTTTGGTAAGCAGAATTAATGTCAGGGATACTTACTGTTGTTTTGTTTTGTTTTTGTACTGGGGATCGAACTCAGGACCTTGTACTTGTGAGGCAGGCGCAGTGCCACTGAGCTAAATCCCCAGACTGTTATTTTGTTTTTAAGTGAGTAAAAATATCTATATTGAGTTAACATATAAAAGACATTGGAAATCAAGTAGTTCTGAAAAGCTTGCAAATGAAAACAAATGTTTCCTGCCCTATTCTTGCTCTTTTTTATTTCTACTCCCCAGTCACAATTTATAAAATTTTTCTAACTGTATTTTCCATTAGTTTCAAGGTGTATCAAAATATGTCTTAATATTATATATATTTTGTTTGTTTGTTCTTTGCAGTACTGGGAATTAAACCCAGGGCTTTCACACTGAATCACATCTCTAGTTCTTTTTGTTGTTTGAGACAGGATCTTACTGAGTTTCCCAGGCTGGGTTTGAATTTGCAGTCCTCCTGCCTCAGCCTCCCAGAGTGCTGGGATTACAAATATGTACCACCATGCCCAATTAAATTTCTGTTTTTATTAAGTGTTATTCACATGGACACCCCCTCCCTTTGTGTGCTTGTGTCACTATTTTTAGTATTTTTTTTTCCACAAATACAGCACTCCCTTTGCCCACTCTTGTGTAAGGGGAGAGGGATGTTAGTATTTTTAAACCCTTCTGTTGAGCTTGGCTACTCTGTGTTCTGACTTTTATCTTCCAGACTTACATATTACATTTTACTTTCACATCAGGAGATATATATATATATATATATATATTTTTTTTTTTTTTTTCCTCACCTAAGTTTGCTATAGAGAACAGTGGAAGACCCTAGTAGCTAATGTCTTTCCTGTAGTCAATTCCTGTGGAGATCCTTTAACACTGAAGCAGTTTTACCCAGGTCTGGAGAATCTCTTACAGCATAGTTTGGGGTTTATGAATTATATAGATTTCTTGATAACTCTTTTTTCCTTGCTATTGTTAGTGTGGGCAGTATCAATGTTGTGAAAAGTATTGCTTTTAAAATATGTATTTTTCTGTTAACCTTTCTTTTGGGTTAGAGACTTTTTTAACAAGTTATATTTAACCTCATCATTATTTATTTCAGAAGTTAAATGATTAAGTGTACTTAAAAAGTTGTTTTTCTAGTCTAATGTTGATCCCATATTATTACAGGCCCAAGATAACCAGATTGGATTTTAAGAAGAATAAGTTAACCCTAGTGGTGGTAGAAGATGATGATCAGGTAGGAATGGTATTGCATTAATAATGACTATGTTATGTGGTAGCTTATATTCTAAAAGGGGAATGTACCTCATTGCTTAAAAAAACCAACAGAATCCTAGTAATTAATACTTAGAGTAATTTCCTGATTCAGGTCACACCAACCTTAAAATACGGTTTTCTGCCATTAAGATAAAAAATAATACAAAAGTTCTTGTTTCTTCATTGATAATGTATTTAAGGTGTGTAACAGGTTGCATTCAAGTGACTCTGTCCCTTACTTGATCAAAAAGATTAGTCAAAACAAAATCTACCTAATAATCTTTAATAAAGTATTTGGAACTAAGGATTTTTTTTATTTGTTAAAATTCATTTTCTAGGGCTGGGGATTTAGCTCAGTGGTTCCTCCACCTGTCTCACAAGCGCAAGGACCTGAGTTCAATCCCCGGTACCAAAAAAAAAAATTCATTTTCTAATTGATATACATATAGAAACATATAGATGCATTCTGCCAGGTAAAAGAAGCCAGACTCAAAGGATTATGCATTATTTGGGAAAGGCAATCCCATAGGAAGAGAGACTAAATCAACATTACTGGCTGCTTCAGATTATTGGTTATGGATTTGACTACAAAGGGACAGAGTGAAGAACATTTTTGGGAATGAGAGAACTATTCTGCAACCTGATTTTGGTGGTAGTTATATGACTCTGTACATACAGCTCACAGAATTATATGCTCTGTTGGGAGCAATTCTACATAATTTTGGGGGGAAACCATTTGATTAGGCCTAGTTCTCCTGCCTATAGGCCAGCTATGGTATTTCGAGACAACTCCATTTTGGCCTCCGGTCACAGCTAAGACCTCAATGGTCTGGTGATGCTGTGATGCTCCTGGACAAGATTATACCAACTGAAGACATCCTGGGAGGAACATAATCTTCATCTGCATAGCTCCTCATTGATCTAGGATTTCTGCTGCCCTCCGAGTCATCTCCTGATGTACTGAACTCTCTGTCGGGAGTCAGTTTGTCACATTTGTTTCTCCCGATGTACTGAATAAAGGTGCAGCAAGCTAAGGGGCTTTCCTCTTTGTCACCCAGAGCAGCATGGATCAGGCCCAAAGCTCACCTTCTTCTCAGAGTCTCATTTTTTTCTACCTTTCCTGTATAATAAGTTAATTCACCTTGTGCTGTCATGGCTCGCAGGAGACTAGGACTTACTGCAGAGGTTCTAGTAACATCCCCTTTCCCTGTTCCCTACAATGCTCAAAATCTTACTGTATGCAAATTAATAAGCTTTAAGATATAGATACAAGGATATAGATAAAAGCAAATTAGGCAAAATATTAGTGGTTGTTGACTGTACACAATGTATATAGGTATTCAATTTTTCTGTGTGTTTAAATATTTTCACAATAAAATTTTGAAATGATTGCTAATTTTTTTTAGTTTTCAGGTAATTTCAGTATTATTTCTCCCGTTTTAAATGGCTTCCTATGTTTTTCCAGCCTTTATCATATAGATGTATTTTCATGTTTCCAGTTGGTTTACAGTTTATAATTCACTTTTTCCTTCTATTCTTTATTATTAGTAGTAATGCATTTTGTTTTTACCAGTGTGAAGCCTCACAAGCAGTAGTTGAAAGTTAAAGAAGTAAATGAATTTTGCTGAAACTTTACCAGTATTGGATTTTATTATTAAAATTTTGCTCATAATGGAATCATTGTTTTAAACTTGATTTTCTTTTAGTGGTTATAGATGTTAACTTTTGGTCATGTTTGCTTATTTCTGTATTTCTTTCTAATGGGCATTTTCTTTTCTATAGATAGCATAAGGTACAATATAAAAATGACATAAATTCCACAAATATTGATTCGTAAACAGCTGAGTAGCCATGTGTATAGTAGCCCTCTGATGATATTCTGTGGTTATTGTAGATATGTGTACGTTTTATCAAATATAATAATTGAAAAAAAGAATAAGGATATAACACAGTTAAAATCTCCTGTATACTCATTATTTTTTTTTTCTTCAAATACTTTAATACTGATATTGGAAGGGTCACTTTTCCCTAATAAGAAAACCTCTTGGAAAAGGGACTTTGAGTTTATATATGAAACTTTAGTAGATTTTGGTCAACATTAGTAAAAATTGTAAAAAAGTAGTAGTTTATCAGAAACTTAGTTGTGTCAGGCTGCTGCTGCTTCACAGAAAACTGCTTTTTAGTCAGTATATGTTGGTGTTTTATTTTGACTCTGAAGTCTTCAGATATAAAATAGAGAAACTGCTTATGTGCTTGGGACAGGACTGAGGGTTTTTTTTTTTTAACTTATTGGAATGAGTAAGGAATATTCCATGTTCTCAAGGAATTTGAGTGCAATAGGAATGTCCAGTTTATAAGCATATCATTTTCATGCACAAAAATGCTATGTAGCTAAGAAATTTGTATTGATGTGGAAAAAAACTTCATGATACGGCAAGTGAATTTTTAGTATAGCACTGTTTTTATGCCTGACCTTTTTTTTAAAGACAGTACTTTACACTGAAAAGAGTTTGCATGTATTTCAAACTGCTGGCTGTTACTACAGAGAGATTACAGCTTTGGATGGTTTTGATTTTTTTCCTTGTTTTCCTAGATATGTATTTCTTTTATTGTATGTGTACAACACATAATAGTTACTAAATATGTATTTCTTATGAGATAAAGGCTAAGAAATAGGGAGATAAAGGGATCCCAGTACTGATTTATTAGGTACTGTTTTTAATTGTGTTTTGCTTAGGTCTTAATGTACAGAATTGTCTTTAATCTTTTGGTAAAGTTGTGATGATCATAGAGCTTTTTCTATTCAAAAATTATGCATTCATTACTCACAGCAGGGCCAGAGATACAGCTCAGTGATATAGCGCCTGCCTGGCATGAGACCCTGAGTTCGATTCCTGGTACCAAAATATAAAAAGTATCATTACTCACTGCAGGCTAGAGAGGAACAAAGAACTTTTTTGGTCTCTGTTCTCAGAGAGATCATTGACATTAAGCATCAATTTCAAAATCAAAATGTATTTCAGATAAGGTATAATTGTACCTTCTTCACTTCAAACTTTAAAAAAACACCAGTTGCATTTTAATGGACAGAAGTGTCAACTATGTAGTATTTTTTTAAAGCCTAAAAACAGCTCACCTGAATTAGCTAATATTTCTGCATAGGTTTCAATAATGTAATATTCATTTATTTAGTACATTTAATCATTGAAAACATGAAAAGTCATACAGGGAAAATGAAGTCCCTCTCCATTCAGTTTCCTCCTCTATAAAGCATTCAATATTACTTATTTTATCAATTTTAAGCCCTGCTATTTTAAAAAAAACTTTATAACATCTCTAAAAATACTGGGATGTATTTTACAGTGGGTTTTGCCTTAAAAGTTGTCAACAGGCAGTAATTGTTATGTAGTTATCCTTGCCTGCTGTATGAGAATTTAGTAGATTCAGTGGGATTCTATTCATTGTTATTATAGTACAGGTGTTAATTTTAGTTTCTACTTAAATGGCTTATAAAATATAGCATTATAATTTAGTATTGAAATCAAAGTTACTGTGAATGCAGAAAAAGTCTTCCAACAAATTTGTGGAAAGTACATTGTCATTATTGAAGTAATTCATGGTTTTGGAGAATGATCTCAGTTTTTTATATTTTCTTGCAAAGCAACAACCTCCTTTGCTTTTCACAGTATTTGGTCTCACTCACTTTACCCTGCATCCCAAACTACTCAATCAGAAAAGCTCATCCCCAAGATTTGTTTGGAAATGAAGTATGTAAAGCCTTGTTTAGCAGATCCTAAGAAAGAAGATTCTAAAAGTAAATGAAACACGTGATAAGTTTTGAAAGTTTGAAGTCTTACTATTGAGATATATGCAAATGTTTCCCCTGTCATATAGCTTGGAAGAGAATCAATGATGGAGTATTTTTAAAAGAAATCTCTTGCTAGCTGGGATGGTAATCATTATGTCATCAACAGAGGGGTTAAATGATTCAGAAGAGGCAGATTTTGAATATGACAATAATTAGGTTATTTTAATAATATTTTCCTTTTTATGTAAGTACAGATATGCTTAAGTGATATATGTATCTAAATCTAAAAGTGATCTTTTAAGAATAAAATTCTGTTTTAAGAAAATATGGTCATTTAATTGGTAACACTTTTATTAAGGCATAAAATAATAGTACATTTTAAAATTGATTGCATTTTAGGTTTGTTCAAATACTATATCAGCCTTTTGGATATCTTTTCAAGGGTATTTTATGCATACAAGCAAATATTTTTATTCATTTTCATAATTCAGCATATTTTTATTATACACTGCAATCTCCTTACTCTCTTTAACTTTACATTATATACTTTTAAAATATAAACTAAAACTGCATAATATTTCAGTATATTGATATATCTTAATTTAACCACTTTTCAATTAATTGACATTTATTCATGATTTGTATTTTGCCATATGTATCTGTAGCATAATTTCCTTGAGATAGATTTGCTCCATCAAGGTTATGTACATTTGTCTGATAAAGATCCTGGCAATTTACACTAACTTTTTTTCTCAGAGAGAGTTACCAAACATTTTTATTCAAAAGGTGAAAAATGGGATTTCATTGTAGGTTTGTTTTTTATTTCTGTTATTATGATTGAACATCTCGTCATATATTTTAGTCATTTGAATTTTCTTTTCTCCAAAGTGCCTTCTCATTCTTTGCACATTTTTCTTTTGTGTTGCTGGTCTTTTTTCTTACAGATTTAGCTGTTGGTGATATAAATTAAAATTTAAATAGTCTAATTATTTTTTTTAAAAAGGACATAACTAAGAGTATTTTTTGGCATGTCTTTACTTTTTTTCCCTTGGTGCTAGGAATTAAACCCAGGGCCTCACATGAGCTCTACCAGTGAGCTACATCCCTGGTCCCTAAAGTTTTTATACAGCTGAATTTATCAATCTTTAATGGCTTGTAAGTTTTTGTTTCATAGAAAAGTTTTCCCTTCATTAAGATTGTATGTTTGCCAGTTTGTTTGTTTGTAGGGGTTTTTTGGTAAATATCATTTTATAAAGTAGATTCAAATAAGTACACAATTAAACAGTTTGCTGAATTTTTACATACATTTTTATGACAACATTGAGATCAAGAAATAGAATGCTGCCAGAATTACAGAATTTCCTTTATGCCTCCTACCAAGTAGTCTTACAAGGCTAACCATTTTGACTTTAGTATCAGAGATTAGTTTTTACCTGTGCTTTGAATTTTCTGTCTTCTTTTTTCTCTTCTTTTCTTTCTTTTCTTTTCTTTCTCTCCTCTCTCTCGCTCTCTTTCTCTTTCTTTCAACAGTAGCAAAGATTTATTAAAGGTAGGAAAGAAACAGGCTCTGCAGAGCAAGTTTGGGCCAAGTAAAAGTAGGAAAAGAAGTTCTTCTGTACATGGGAAGGCCACCCATGCAAGAGAGAACACTGTGGACTGGTTCCTTTATTTCTATACTGTATTTGTATGCTTTGGTCATGTTATAGCAAGTAGTTGTAGTTGGGACATTCTTGCTGTTTTAGTATTCTATTTATGAATAGACAATTATTTTTTCATTCTGCTGCTCCTCGATGATGAGAGTTTTTTTCAGTTTCAGTTATGAAAAAGTACATTCTGGATACTAGGGTATGCATTGATAACTGACCATCTATTATTTTTAAAAATTTATTTTATTTTATTTTTGTTACTGGGGATTGAACTCAGGACCTTGCGCTTGCAAGGCAGGTGCGTATTTTTTATTTTTTGAGACAAGGTTTCACGTAAGACACCTGAGTATCCTAGAACTTCTGATCTTCCTGCCTCAGTCTTTCAAGTAGCTGGGATTACACATTTGTGCCATCATACCAGCTCTGTGTATATTTTTTAAAGTCTATCATTTATTTGACCTTTTCTTAAATTTTAGACATTTTAGGTTTTTACTATAGAAAATTGTTTAATACAGAAAATTATTTTTCCTACAGAGGACGTATAACTTAGTTGTTAACTGCTGTAAGCTCTAGAGTCAGACTGGCTGGATTCAAATCCTGGTTTCCTATCGTGCTAGCTTTGTGACTTTGGGGTTAATTTCCTTTTAACCTCAGTTTTCTTTATCTATGAAATTGTGCTAGTAATAGTATCTCTTCATTGGAGCAATTCATGTGAAATACTGAGGAAAATGCCTATGGATTCTAACTATTATAACTTGATTCCTGGCAGTGTGGTTATTAGAAAAAAATTAGCATTTTAAAGGCTATTCATACATATGGCCAGATCTTATATGATCCTTTAAATTGTAATTGTTATTGTTTGCAATGCTGGGGTCAAATGTGAGGTCTCACATTCTGGGAAAGTGCTCTACCACTTAGCTACATCCTCAGTCCTTAAATTATTACATATTTCTATGGATAGCAGATGAATCCTCATTTTATGTTTTTCTGATAAATGAGATCAAACAAGGAGAGGAGACACTCTTAGGAATAAATTTATATTAGTTTAGAAAATAGCTTGATTTCAGCTCTGTCTTTTTATGTAGATAGCTATAAAAAATGGGTTTCAAGCTGGGGTTGTACTTCAGTAGTAGAGTGTTTTCCCTAGATTTGATCCCTAGCGCTACAAAAGAACAAACAAAAAAGGAATGAGTTCCAGAGAGCAAAATAGATGCCTTATTATTTGCTTCTTGGTATTGCTGTGATTGTATTTGTATCTCAGAAATAAGAGGTAGGACTGTTTTACCTAATAGACATCTTTTCCTACATCCTTTTCTTTTTCAGGGCAAAGAACAGGAGCATACATTTGTGTTCAGACTGGATCATCCAAAAGCATGCAAACATTTGTGGAAATGTGCTGTGGAGCATCATGCCTTTTTTCGCCTCCGAGGCCCTGTCCAAAAGAGTTCTCATCGCTCAGGATTTATTCGACTAGGATCACGATTTAGATACAGGTTAATTTTAATACCAACTTTCTGTATCTTTCACTCTTGTATGTAGGCTAACCTTCTCTTATTTTACAGTGTGGAACATAAGGCACAGAGAAATTAAGGGGTTTGACAGAGTCACCCATTTGCCAAAATTAAAAAGTGATATTCTTTTTTTTTTTTGGTACCGGGGATTGAACTTGGGTCCTTGAGCTTGTGCAGCAGGCAGCAAAACCACTGAGCTAAATCCCCGGCCCAAAAAGTGATATTCTTATTGGCTATAATTTCTTGAAAAGATGTGAAATCATAATAATTGTATTATGGATTTTATAGCCCTTCTTGAGACTTACTTTGTATGTTAACCAACTGTCAGTTTAAATTCATTTAATGACCAGAGTTTCATGAATTCTCTTAACTGCTAGAATACCTACCATACAGTAAAAGGATATCTTGCCCTGAGTGGGATTAATCTGAATATTTGTTGGGGTTTTGTTTTTGTTTTTGTTTTTGGTACTGGGGGTCAAACTCAGGACCTTGTGCTTGCAACGCGCAGGCATGGTGCCACTGAGCCAAATCCCCAGTCCTATTTGGTTTTTTATTAACCTGAAGTGCCATTCTTACATATTTCTTGTATGCTTGTCGTGAGTTAGAAATATTCCAGATTGCCAAGTGTGGTGGTGCCCGCCTGTAATGAGGATAAGGCAGGAGGATTGCCATGAGTTCGAGGCCAGCCCGGAATACATAGTGAGTTCAAGGCCAGCCTGAACCATATAATGAGACCCTGTCTCAAAAAAACAAGAAGAAAAAAAGAAATGTTCCAGATGTTACAAATCCAAATGTTCCAAATGTTGCATAGTAGCAGATTATTGATTTTGAGTGTTCAACATGCTGTGAGCATCAGTTGGTATGAGTTAAAGAAAGAATGGATAATACCAATAATGTGGCAAGTCAGTTGTGTAGAAATTCATGTAAGAGAGCTTCTATTGTACCTTTTTAAAAATGGGGAAACATTTTCTTACCAGAATTAAAATAGAAATCAAAGAAGCAAGATGATAGTTTTTTAAATGGTTTTGGAAAATTGTTCTGATAAGTATATCATAATTAGAAAAAGTAGCTGATAATCTTGTTCTAATTGTACACTTTGCACTGAGGAGTGTAGATGAGGAAGCATTCCATAACACCCTGGACATTCCAGAGTTATTTACCATGTTCCAAGATGATATACTTGCGTAAGAAAAAATAGCAATGTAATCTGTTGTGTATTTCATAAAAGCGTAAAGTGAAAGAGTTTTGTGGTAAAATGGGAATATTAAGATTAGTAGTAGTAGTCCCTTTAGGGTGAAGTTCATGTGTGCCTAGTTACTGTAGGCTTCAGGTTCTTCTGTTGACTTGCCATATTTATTTTAGTGGGAAAACTGAGTATCAAACTACAAAAACTAATAAAGCAAGAAGATCAGCATCCTTTGAAAGAAGACCCAGCAAACGATATTCTCGACGAACTCTACAAATGAAAGGTGAAATACAACCCTGTTTTAAAACACTGTTCTTTCTAATAGTTTATCACGTACTGGTATTGTTCACTTGAAAGGAATCTGAATCTGAATCTGATACCTGAATCTCCTCGGGTTTGTTCCAATCAACCAAAGTACTCCTCTGGCTTAAAAAAGTTATGTAAGCTACACAAGGGGAAATTGTCTATATTGTTAGCTAAGATTAAACTTTATATTAATTCAGATTATATTCTGAGATTGTATTCAATTTTTATATTATCTAGTTCAGATTTTCTGTAGAGCAACATTTTTTCTCCCTTTTTGACTTACAGACCTTTTAATAAAACATTTCTTAATCCCTTTAGGAATTTTTAAAAAACATGAGCATGTGATGGACACATTTTAAATAAAAATGATTTCATGTTGTATTATATTATTATTAAGAATTCTGGGGCCGGGGATTTAGCTCAGTGGTTCCAGTGTCTTGTAGCGCAAGCACAAGGACCGGAGTTTGATTCCCAGTACCAAAAAAAAAAGAATTCTGTTAAATATAGCATTTAAATCTAATCATCAATATACATCATATATACATATTTCCAAAGTAATTAAGATGCTTCAATTATGGTTTACTTTGACAAATAAATTAAAATTTATGTTTGAGTTTGAATCCGAATTTGTATTAAAATACAGATTGAATTTTAAGTATGTCCATTGTCTAAAAACAACTGCCATAATCTGATATTTGGCAGTATTAATTCTTTGAATGATTTATAATTTTGGTGTGGCTATAAATTAAATAAAATTTAGACATCTTTTTTTCTTTTGTAGTACTGTTGCTCAAATCCTGGTTTAATCTTTAAAAAGTTTAATCTTTAGTTTAATCTTTAAAAAAAGAAATATGGACCTAACACATTATTTTAAAAATGGAAATAATTGCCATTGTTGACTTTACCAGTATGAACTCCAGAACACTTTTGTAAAATGAAGATTTTAAAATCTCTGAGGCCACGGATTTAGCTCAGTGGTACTGTACCTGCCTGGCAGGTGTAAGGTCCTGAGTTCAATTCCTGGTCCTTTCCCCCCACCCCCCAGATCTCTGGCAGGGTAACATGACTTTTATAAAATAATTAATCAAGGCTTTACCTGAGGAATAGTGAAGCAATTTAATATGTAGAGTGAGACTAATGTGATGTTATCTTTTTTATTCTGTCAGCAAGTTCACCAAAACCTGAAGAACTCAGGTGAGTAATGTCTTGAAAGAAGGAATTGATACAGAATATTGTGGGAAAATAAACACACAATGCCAGATCAAATTGACAAGAAGAAAAATAAAGCAGTTTAAAGAAATAAAGAATGGGATGGGAGTGGGTATGGTATGAGAATGACATTTGTTACTGGCAAATGACTCCAGATATAAAGATAAATTATAATCCTTACACATAAGGACCTCAAAGAAATATTGATTTTTCAAATAAGCAATTTTATTTTTAGGATGAATCCCACTTAGTCATGGTATATAATCTCCCCTTAGATATTGCTGGTTTTAGTTCGCTAATATTTTGGTCTGAAGTTTTTGTATTTTTCTGGGGCAGCTTTTAGTATCAGTCTTCAACCAAATATGTTTGTAATTATTCTATTTTTTGAGAAGAGTTTGTAAAGAACTGGTATCATTCCTTGAATCTGTGGTAGAATTCACCATTAAAACCATCTGGCCTGTATTTTCTCGTGTGAAGTCTTTAAATTCTTGAGAAAGTCTATTCAGATTTTCTTTTTCATCTTGAGTCAGTTTGGGAGTTCATCTTCTAAAATTTCTCAGTCTCATGTAAGCTGCCTAATTTTTGGCACACAGTTCATATTATTCCAGTTTTGCTTTCCAGTGTTCTCCCACCTCTCATTCCTTTTCACCTTACTAATCTTTTTTTCTTGGTCAAGCTAGAAATCTGTCACCTTCTTTTGCTTTTACAAATAGAACCCGCTTTTGATCGCACTGATCTCTCCCTTTCATCAGTGTTCACTCTAATACTCGTGTGTGTTGTTTGGCAGCACTGGGAGTTGAACTCGGTTCATGCCAGGAGAGTACTCTACCACTGAGCTAACACCTCCAGCCCCTTTTCAAAAAATTTTAGACAGGTCTCGCTATGTTGCCTAGGCTATCTTGCCTCAGCCTCCAGAGTAGCTGGGATTATGGGTATATGCTACTGCACCCAGATTTTATTTTCTTTTAACATAATTCATCTATAAATTGTCTTCTTAAACTACTTAATTATATTCCATATCTTGTGTTTTCGTTTTTTTGTTCATCTCAAATTATATTCTAACTTCTCTTGTGATTTGACAAGACCTGTTTTATTTTTATGACCTACTTGGGACTGTATTGCTTATTTGTGAATGTCTTAAATTTTCTTCTAATTTTATTCCATAGTGGTTAGAGAACATGCTTTGTACAATTTTAGTCCCTTACATGTATTAAGACATGGTTCTGATAGTTCCATTAACTTTTTTTTTGTACCAGGGATCGAACTCAGGGCCTTGCGCTTGCAAGGCAGACACGGTGCCACTGAGCTAAATCCCCAGCCCAGTTCCATTAATTTTAATATGTATTAGTGTGCATATAGTGTTATAAAGCTTTTCAAAACTGGTATGCATTAAGGTCTACTAGAATATCTGTTAAAGAATCAGACTCAGACCATCCCCACAAATCTAGTTTCTTTTAAAATTTGTCTGTACTGTTATGAAATACGGTCAGTATGAAATACGGTCAGTCTCACCTTGAAAGTATCCTATTAAGTTTTTTTAACTTGGTAAGCTATTAAGGACAGACTCTGATTGGTGATTCACTATAAAAGTACTCTGCTTTTTTGAACAAAGACTGCTCTCAAATTTCTTTAGCTGATAGTAGACTGTTAAAAATAACAGGGAGAAAGTAAGGGATTCTTTTTATTGTGAAAATTTAATTAGGTAAGATGCGGGCCAGGGATTTAGCTCAGTGGTTTCTCCCTCTGCTGCGCAAACGCAAGGACCCAAGTTCAATCCCTGGTACCAAAAAAAAAAAAAAAAATTAGGTAAGATGCCAACATTTTATACCTTGTCTAGGTTTTACACTTTTATTTCCCTGCATTTATTTCTAAGATAAAGCTTTTAATAGAAAATTGGTAGAGAAATTTCAGAGGTAGCATGTATTTTTTAAACATTTTGTTTAGTAGATCATGTCTTGGTTTCCTGAAAAGGAGGCTGGAACAAAATATGTTATCTTAAAGTAATGATGGAATACCTAGTGAGGTTTGTAGAAATATGAAAGAGGAATTAAGCCATTATATGATGTTGAAAAATTAAAACTTACAGTGGCACCTCGATTCACAAACTTAATTTGTTCCACGGTTGTGTTAGTCACCTGATATGGAGTTTCCAAACAAAACTCCAAAATCCTCGTGGTCCCGGGGATTTAGCTCAGTGGTTCTGCCACCTGCCTCGCAAACGCAAGGTCCCAAGTTTGATCCCTAGTACAAAAAAAAAAAATGTTTGTGAACCAAGGTAGCACTGTAATTGCAAAATTAAAAAATCCTCTAAAATTTAGTCACTTTCCTGTTGCTGGAACAAAATACCCAACACCTGCAACTTAAAAGAGGAGAGGTTTATTTTGGCCCATGATTCTTAGAGGGTTCAATTTACAGTTGGCTGACTCCAAGATAGAAACAGCATGGCGGAAGGGCATAATGGAGGCCAGTTGCTCACCCCATGCCAGCTAGGAAGCAGAGAGAAAAGGTAGGACCTGGGAGGGTGCGATACCCTGCAAAACACACTCCCAGTGGCACCCTCTGCCAAACAAGCCCCACTACCTAACAGCTCATTTAGCTATGAACTCACCAGTGGACTGATCCACTGATGTGTAGCTTCCCCATGATTCAGTCATCTTCCAAAAGCCTCACTTCTGAATACCTGAGAGCCATGGGAGACAATTTAGATCCCAATCATAACAAAAATGTTCTGAAATACACATTTCTGATGAAAAACTAGAAATGAAAAAATCTCTTAGAATTAAAATTAAACACATTAGTAATCCTTTCAGCTCAGGTTAGTAGCAGAAATTGGATACTAAAGTGATAACACCTTTTATTTTTTCATCTAAGAATAGCCTTTTAGAAAAAGAATGAAGAAGGAACCCTGACTCTCCTGAAGGTTATCCAGCACGATTTGTAACAGTGCTTGAGAGAACTTGTGCTTCAAACACGCCTTGCAGTTCTCTTTTCATGAATGGTTCCACTCCAATGAACCATGGAAAATAATATTTTTGAAAGGAAACACAGTTTGACATAAAAAGTGTCTTGACTGTGTACTCTGCAGTTTTAGATTTTTTAATTGGCGGATGGCAGTAATTTCCCTTATACTGTTTTGTCTCCCAACAACTTTCTTGTGAGTCTTGTACAAAGTGTATTAAGAAGAGGTGACTTTTAAGGGATAGTCAACATTTTGTTTACTAATCAGTACTTTTTCTTTATTTTTGAGAATGGGTCTTGGCACAGGCTGGTCTCAAACTTATAGGCTCCAGTGATCCTCCTGCCTCAGCCTCCTGAGTAACTGGGACTACATGTGTACTACTATATATGGCTTCTTGTTCTTTTTATACAGACTGAATGGACAGGAAGGGGAGGAAAAGAAACAAGTAGGGGGGTATAAGAGTAAAAAGGGTCAGTTACTACATGTGATTATTTAAAAGGGAAAGCCATGACTAAATAATGAAAAATAATTCTTTAATAATTTCATACTCCTGAAAGTAAAATAGTATATCCTCATTCATCTTTTATTGATCACTTCAACTGAAGTTATTCCTAGATAAAGGGACAGCTTCAGATAACAAAGGGACCCCAGAATAGCACAGACAAGTGAGTCTAATTTCTGTAGCAAACAAGCTGCATGCAGTTTCAGTAATGTTTAGAATCATTTACTTACATCGACATAACGTATCTCGGGAAGAAAAACACAGTAAGAAGAAATTGTGCTTTACATGTATATTTTTACAGTTACCTTGGCAATGGACCTACACTCAATTTTTCTAGTGTTTTAATGATTTTGTAATTGGTTTGAAGGTAAAATTACAAATTACTTAAAACTGAATCTTTCAAATTATATATTGTGAGTAAACAATTATAAAACACTCTACCTTTAATAAATTAGATTGGGGAAAAGGAGATCAGTTAGGTTATATTAAGAGACTTTTCAAATCGATTTATTGTATATTTTATGAAGATCTAAAAGAGAGGACCTAGAAGGCTCCAAACATACATGATAGTAAAAAGGAAGAAATGCTGATTACTCTGATTTAATCAGTGCATCCTGTGTGCATCTGTAGAAATGTCACACTGTATCAATTAATATGTATAATTATTGCATGTTAAAAAGTTTTTAGGGCCAGGGATTTAGCTCAGTGGTTTTGCCACCTGCTGCACAAATGCAAGGACTCGAGTTCAATCCCCGGTACCAAAAAAAAAAAAATTAGGACTGGGGATTTAGCTCAGTGGTGCTGCCACTTGCCTAGCAAGCACAAGGTCCTGAGTTCGATCCCCACTACCCAAAAAAAAAAAAAAAAAGTTTTCAAGGGCCGGGCATTTAGCTCAGTGGCACTGCACCTGCCTTGTAAGCACAAGGTCCTGAGTTCGATCCCTGGTACTGCCCCCCCAAAAAATTATTAATGAATATAATTGTCTTAAATCTCATGTATGTGAGGAACCTGAGGAGCAGAGAGCAGAGTTAGTGGGACTATTTGAGTTTGACTCCAGACAACAGTAGTGCAAGTTCTGGTAACTCCACCTGTAATTGAAATGTAGTTCCTAAAAAGTAGGATATAAATGGCTCCATTCCTCATTACCTGGCATTTTCATAAGGCCTCTTTAATCTTGAGTTCTTTCTTAATTGTTTGGCTTTCATCTTGAGGTAGTTTTTGTTTTGTTCTCACTCCCTAAGAAATGCCTCTGGTTGCTACGTTCAGATTTTTTCTTTGAGAAGTGTTGCCTTTAGTAGAATGACATCTTAGCAGGGTTGTACTGCTCTTGACTATTTCTATGAAGAAGTATGTGCCAACCTGACACTGCCATTGGGCTGCTTTTAAATCTTGGTGTGCCTTATCCTTGAGGGAGCTTAATGATAAGTGTTTGATTGTACTTAATTCTTTGTCTCATTTTCCTGGAGGATAGTGCTGCCATTAAATCTGTAGGTTATTTTCTCACTTTTCAAGGAATTTTCTTCTGAAAACTTAATACATCTTGTTTTACATTAGTTGTATTTTTATTTCAGAGATACCAATTATGTTAGAATGTCTGAAGTCAGCAGGCATTTTTCCTTCATTCTGGTGGGGCAGTATTTCATGTTTGAGTTCTTATTTTATTGAACGCATTATTTTGTTTTCTGTTATTTTATAGTTTGTTTCTGTTTATTGTAATACAGGTTAAGGGGGTTTGAATTTTTTGGAAGAAAGGGCAGGTTAGATGGGGGCAGAGTAGGATACAGACTAAAAATTTAAAAATGTATTTATAAGTCATTTGGAGAGGAGAGTATACATAGAAATTTCTAAGTTAATAAGCCTTTGGAGTAATAAAATGCTGAGCTATTGCTGACTGGAAAATATTGAGTGGTAGGAATGTATAAAAGAAGTGACTGAGTAGGTTTATGTGGGTTTTGTACTGAATATCTTTAAAGAATTGTTTATGCTTTTCTTTCTCTTTTGTCATCTTTGTTCAATGAATAAACAAGATTAATAGTAAATGTCTAAAGCAAAATTAAGTGCTCACTTAGGCAGCACATATACTAAAGCAAAATTAAAATAAATTTTTATGGAAACATCAAATGAGCAGCCTATAGGAAAGCAAACGTTTGTCTATAAATATTTTCTGAGCATCTGACATTCTTAGTTTTAGATGCTACTGGTAAATTTTTTTTTTTACTAGTAATAAAACATTGATGTCTTTGATGCTGTTTTCATTACTGTATGTAGAGTCTTAAAATTAAGGTCTAGAATTTTAGATATAATTTCTTAATAAATTTTTCCCATTACAGTGTTCACAACAATGTTTCAACCCAGAATAAGGAGTCACAACAGGTAAGATGTTATTAAACTTTGAAAACACTAGAACACTGTAGTTAATTATAGTAAATAGTATTAATTACATTTTCTTTTCCTCGTCTCTTAAGTGGCTCAGTAATAGCTAACTCCTCATTTTATTCTCTTAAGATGTTATAATTAGAGAAGATACTCTATAAAACATTTTCTGTCCCTGTAATTCTGGGACAATTAAGAAAATAAAAATATTCAGTTAAATCATCTTAAGATGATACATAAGATTCAAATGTTTATCACTATGTGGATAGAATTTCATTGTGGTACTCTATTTGTTGGTGAGATCTTTTATCTAAGCAAAATAAATGATTTTTATAATCTTTGTCCAAAGGCTTGGGGTATGAAATCTACTGTGCCTTTGATTCCTTCCACATCCTCTGGTCCTGTGCTGGTGGAAATAGAGAATCTTCCACGGAGTTCTGGAATGGATCAGCATGACAGGAAATGGTTTGTTAACTACTTAAACCAAAGAATTATTTGTTTAATTATTTCTAAATTATATGCTATAATCTTGGAATACTTTAAATGTGATTGAAAGCAAATTATTCATATTTGTGAGCTGACAAGCATAATGTTGAGCAGTCATAGAAATGCCCCCATAAGGTATATAGATGAAGAAGGGAGTGAGTTGTCTAAATGAAGAACGTGAGGCAGCTGTCTTTGTTTGGATTAGCATGATCTGGGAGTGGTAGATGGTTCTGTGTTGCAAAGACTCCCTGCTAGTCACTAGAACCCTTTCCCAGATCCATTGGAAAATGTTTGTTACGTTTTTCCATACAACGTGATGTTACAACTTTAGATATGTTTTCTTCATTAAAAACTAAATGTAAAGTCAAAGGGGAAACATGATTAAAGTCTTACAAAATAAAGCATGAAATATACCATATTTTGGAAATTCAGAGATAATCTGATGAGAACAAAGATATTTCATTTATTTAGCTTTCAAGTCTTTCTAGATTGATAGTAAATACACAAATATGGATACTTTGTGGCTTATTAGAGTTAATCAGTTGAGTGGGGAGGGTGGTGCTGCTTGGGAATTATTTGAGTGGTCATGTTGGATGTATCATCTGTTCAAATTTTGTGTCTATTATTAAACAAACTTTGATAATTTATAGGATTTTTCTCTTTTTCTCTTGCTCTTAGTTGGTTTAGTACCTGAAATCTAATGAGTTTCTGTGGTGATCTCAAGGTTTTGGTCAGCTTTCTGTGCAACCAGTTCTTCCTTCGTGGTGGTGGGTCAACAGTTGTTGATGATTATAGTCTTTGCTATGTAATTTATATTTTTCACTATTACTATTGGCTTAACTAACTGCAGGGTGCTTTACTCTTGAGGGTGGGGCATATCTTTACTTCAGTTTCGAATAACTTGTGATTAAGATCAGGAGGATTTCACATTTCTCCTTTTAAAAATTTTTTAAATTATTTGGGATTGTGGTCAGAATACTTATGCATGTGTGCATACACTTAGCTTTAAGAATGAGGCTTCTAAATATCAAATTTTAGTCTTAAAGCCATTTTTAAAAGTTTAATTCCTTATTGAAAATACAGCTCCAATAAATAGCTGTTTTATTTCCTTAAGGTTTCGTTCCATTGAATCTTATTGGAAAAGTTGTACTGAGATGTCAACAATAAAAGAACTATCTTAATAAATGTTTGTCTTTTAATAAGCAATGAGAATCTGGCTAGTTGCATCCTTTATTCTGACATTAAATCTTTGAGTTTTTCTACCTTAATGAGTACATATTCAAATCTGTTTGATTTGTTAGACACTATCCAGTTCTTTTGCTGCATCCTCTAGAGAGTGAGTGTGTGTACTAAATCTGATTGATTTTGCAAGAAAAATGAAAAATTTGGAGCTGTATGTCCACCTCCTTTTATGTGGTTGTGTTGAGAACTCCTTTTCTGAAATGGAGTAAAGTGATGATCCCTATAACCTGATGAGCCTCAATGTGTCAACAGGGCGTGGAACTGAACATGGCTCTGGCCTGTCTCAGAGCTAATGGATCCTCCTGCTAAACTTATTAAAAATACATTCTGAATTTTATTCTGTGTTTCTGCATGCTTTGACTTAAAAGAATATAGAACAGTCCTTCTTTAGAAAGTGTTAAATTAATAAAATTTCAAAATGCTCCCTAGGTTTGAACACCTGGGCAGAATAATGAACCATCCTATTTCTTGCAGACAATATGTAGCCAATTTAATCTAAACCTACCCCCTCCCCACCTCATGCCCACCTTGTAAATTTCCATTGAGTCTTATATAGTTTTGTCCCACTGTACCCGCCTCATCACATGGCTTTGCTGTATAAACATTTTGAAAAGTGGTGTGGGTGGGCAACCCACTTTCCGGTCCCCCTTTTGTCTCTCTTAGACAAAAGCTTTCTTTCTCTCAATACATTTTCCTACTCTTAAAAAAAAAAAACAGAAAAACAGGGGCCAGGGGTTTAGCTCAGTGGTTCTGCCTCCTGCCTCGAAAGCGCAAAGTCCCGACTTCAATCCCCTGTACTGGAAAAAACAAAAACAAAAAAAACTCACTCCCTGCTGGAGTCTTTAGCTTTTTGTTGCTGATATGTTTTAAATGGTATCATTAATTGGGTGGGTGATTTGATCTATCAGTAACTCAGAATTTATCAAATATTTAAAGTATCACCCTTTGAGAAACATTTCATGTAATTTAAATACACAAATTGTTTATAAACAAGAAAAGAAAACTGACTAATATTTAGAAAATCTTACATTTATAAGAGAAAACATAAGCTTAATTTTCTAAATTTTGAGAGATTAAGTTCAGGGTCATGATTTTTCTGGGTTAAATCTAATAAAGTAATTTCAGTTGAAGAAAATATTTTTATTATTTTAAAAAAAGCCTTCCACATTTGTTGTGAAAAATCCTTTTCAATTTTCCTGAGGAAAAAACTTAAAGATTGTTATTTTGGTTGAGTTAGAAAAATAACACTATTTTTAGAGATATTTTATATTTGGGATAATTTTTCCCTTTGTAGTTGTTTGAAATAATGTATTTCCTTTTTGCCATATCGTAAAAATTTTGATTTGCTGAGCCTTGGCAAATTTTCTTTCTATTGGAGGACTGATCACATCTAATTTATCACTGTATGTCTGCATGTTTCACTCTTGTAGTTCTGTAGGCTTGTTGTATAGCATTGAGATAAAGGTATCTAATATGCTTATTAAATTGTTTCTTGGAGGGGACTTAAAATCTCATCACAGTATCTGTACTTGTTGTATTTCATTTTGATGTCCTCTGAACTTGGGCTGAAAGATAGCATGATTCTCTATAGTTAATTTGGAACACTGACATAAAATTGCATGGCTTCTGAAGGAAATTTTTTTTAATGTTCTCAATTTTTGTTTCCTTAATTTTTGTTTTAGTTTTGTGAAATCTCTTAAGAGATAATTTTCACAGTTGCTCTCCTTCACATATACCTTTGCCCTTGTGTAGACTTCTTTCAAAATATTTGAATTAAGTAGATTATTGGTGAGGGGGGAGTTCAATTGCTTTTTTATTTAATCTAAAAAAATTTTTTAGTTTTTTTTTTTTTCTTTTTGAGAAAGGGTCTTGCTATGTAGTTTAGGCTGCCTTGAACTCACTGTGTAGCTCAGGCTGGCCTCTAACTTGCAGCAATCCTCCTGCCTCAGCCTCCCAAGTACTGGAATTAATAGGCATGTCCCACTATACTCTGGCCTTGAATAGTTTTTCTTTTCATTGAAACTCCAAACATTTCTACCTTTGATTTTTTTTTTTTTTTAGCAATATCAGGGACAGATACAGAATGTGTTGCTCTCTGAAATTTCCTCTTTAATTAATTTACGTAAGCTGATTCTGTTTACTCACACAAATTGATATTTTTAATTATATGTAATTTTGTGGATTTCTGCCCTTTGTTGTTTTAGAATGTTGTTGCATGGATTAGATGTTGGTAGCTGCTCAAAATGGTGCATGCTAATCACATTGCCTTTCTCCTTATTACCTCTTTCACATCTGTTTTCTCCTGTTCCTGTTCACTAACTCTGCTCCCTTCCAACTCCCCAACCATCCAGGCTCTCTGCTGCCAGTGATTGCTGTCAACATGGTGGAAACCAGTGGAACTCAAGGGCTCTGCCCCCAGCCCAGACCGCACATAGAAACTACCCAGACTGTGTCCATGAGCACAATGTGAAGAATGCAGGAGTCCGTCATGGTGCTCGTTTTCCTGGCCATGCAGCCATGACTGAAATATGAGTGTTAAGCATCTTAGGCCTTGAGACACTTGTCATCCAAATCAGTGGTGTACATTTTCTGGTGTTTATAAAAGAATGATCACATTAAGAGTATTTGGGAGACTTTATATTGAGTCACTAGTTGTACAGTGCTGTTTGTGATTGAGTTCTGTGGAAAGAAAGAGGATCTTAAGAAGCAATATGCCATCAATGACAGTGACAGATGTTGCTGTGTTGAAAAGTGTGTGTATGTAACTTTGGAGAGGGTTTTCATGATTTTAGCCTGTTAATAAATGACTAAATATCTCCCAGGAGGTTTGTGTCTGGCTGCCAATTGTCACCCCCACCACATGCTATCCACATACATTGAGATTTAAAGAATCTTAGTGTTAAAAATATATCCAAAAGGAAGCATGGTCAGTCATCTTGTGTCGGCCTTTTATGATGTTTTTATAATACTGTTCTTATATAAACTTTTAATTTCTTAAAATAGCTAATCCCTTAATTTTAGTTAAATGCCTAGTATTTTAATTATTAAAAATTTAAGGGCTGGGGATTTAGCTCAGTAGTTCCAGCGCCTGCCTCACAAGCACAAGGTCCTGAATTTGATCCCTGGTACCAAAAAAAATAAATAAGTAAAAATTTTAATATACTTCTATTTTTTAATAAGCACAGGTATTTTAAATTACCAGTTTAGAAATCACATTGATGGTGTGATTTGTGTAGAGAGAGAAATCTGATTGGTTAATTTGAATGGTCAGCCAGTAGTTAACTGAATGGTTGGTTACATCCTTACCAAATTGTTATACAAAATATAAACTACATTAACATTTTATTTTATTCTCTTTTCCCTTTCATCTCATACACTTGACAAAATGATTATCCAGGTTTTCATTTTCTTTTCTTTTCTCTTTTTTTTTTTTTGAGACATGGTCTTACCATGTAGTGCAGGCTGGCCTTGAACTCATTCTGTAGCTTAGGCTGACCTTCAACTCATGGTGATCCTCTTGCCTCCCGAGTGCTGAGAATACAGGCATGTGCCACCACGGCTGGCCATTACCCAGGTTTTCAACAACCTCATAACCTGGCGTTGAACCACCTTTAAAATAAAATTCTGAAACTAAATGTTACCATTTTTAGATCGACTGGATATGTATTACTATCTTTGGTCCTCTTTAAAGTTTGTCATGTAACTAACTAATCAAGCTCTTAAGTTTGACTTATAGA